ATATATATATATACATCGACTACTTGACGATGTTAATTGCTCGAATGAATTCGATTCGCATAGTCGTTTGGGGACTCGGTTATGCCATTCGATACAATAAACTTGTCCGTTTTTCCGCAAATCTGCCAGACGTATAGAAACTAATTATAGAACTTGCGTTTCCCAACTTTTTTCACGCAAAATCTCCTTCTGCAACCGAGCCGAATAAACTCTGCCGCTCTTACTTCTCGAAATATTTGTCGAATATACGAGGGATCCCCGACGACCATTCGAATCGCGAGAGCAGGAAGAATAGCGTTGTTGCAGCAATTGCCGTTTCAAGTTTAACCGAGACGAAAAAAAGCACGCGTAATTAACCACCCATAGACTCGCAAGCAATCTCTGCGAATTCGCAATCCTCGCGTCGGACGTATTTCACTCGACCCAAATACGTGGGTGACTTACGCGTTCCACAGATAGTCCAAACATAATTTTCCAGAAAAGTCGATCGTTGGTTCGTTTGGAAAGTACGCGAGATTATCCGTGGATAGTAGTATCGCTTTCTCGTAGTACCACTTTCCGCTCGATAAGAATAAGAGAAAAAGAGGGGGAAAAAAAATCGAAAAAGTTTTCAACGTACAGGATATATTCCTTTCCACGGGTAAGAAAGTAAAATCTAATAAGCGAGTGCCAGTAAAAGATATAAATTAACGACATCCACGACCTCATTTTCCTAGTTTAATAGTTTTGTATCTAGAAACTCGCGTTTCTAATTAATCTGCCAATAATTCACCATAAGCCAACGCTATTAATATAGGAATAACGCTGTTTATATATATATATATATATTCGAGTTAACGTAAATAATTTAAGCGGAAAGAAGCGTAGAAAAATTATCAATTAAATATAATCTCGTTACACGTTGCTACATTCATAACCTTGGCGTACACTGCGAGTAATAGTAATAGTAAATTTGCATACACAGCTCACCGAAGGCCCGTGTACGGTAAATTCACTTCCGCGCATTAATTATGTGGCTTGATTTCGCTAATAATTTACTGGATCGACACGCCGTTACATGCACTATGACACATTAATTCAGTTCCTCGTATGTAATTGATTCGCGAATCAATCACACATTCGCGGAACATGGATACTCGAAACATGGTGGAAGAAAATCTTGTACAGTTATATTTCGCCGACGCAATTAATTTCGCGTGAAAGCAAACTTTGATGTATATCGCGTGTACAAAGATGCGATAGATTCTGGATAAGATTTTAATCGGGTTCCCGTTATCCGCGACCCAATATATCCATCGCTCGAAATTGGAAATTTTCATCGATTTCGTTTCTCCATCTCGTCCAACGACCCGATGATTATTCTCGTTATTCCTGGTTCGAAACGAGAGACAGCCTTGTATCGGGCCGGACGAACGAACGGCGAAGACGAGGCCGGTGTTAATTGACGGAATAGCCGCGGTGGTCGCGTGAATCGAGCGGAGTGGTCGACGCGCGCACGTGACTCGGTCACACTTTTCCTTCCACGGTATTAACCCGTACGAGGAAAGGTGTAGCGACTCTCTTTCTTTCCACCGACGATCGGGGTATGTACGATCGGCACGTGCACCGACACGTGGAATTCATGCGCGGCACGTGATCTCCGCTGCTGCACAGCCTGTTTGCGGGGGAGGGGGAGGCATTGATATTATCCTCCGTTGCCCCACATCATCGCTATAATGACTAAGTATGTAAGTAAGTAAGTAGTTTCTCCATCGACGCCCGTTACTCACGTTCGTCCCCGGCTCTCGTCACCCTTGTTCCATCCATCGATGTTTCCTTCCAACAATTCTTCTTTTCTTTTTTCTTTTTTTCGTACGATCGAATCAACGATCGTTTCGAATCAACACGTTCGTGTATCGCAGTTTCAACGAAGATTCGACGCGAAAAGAAAAAAAACTCGACGAAGGATATTCGTTCACGGCCAGTGCATAACTACTTCCTCGCTCTGTAATTTCGTACTTTTTGCACGCGAATCTTATCAATCAGGTTAGAGAAGATTCTCGATCAGATGAAACGGACAAATAGGGGGGGAATAGATGGGATGCTAACGGAAATTCAACTGGATGCTGGTAAGTTTATAGAATCTTTGCGATTCCCTGTAGTAGGAGCGTTTCACTGCTGAAAATATCAACGTTTCGCGAACGTAAGGAGGTTTCGTTTTTTCGATGTGGAAAGTCATGCATAATTGCGTGTTAACTTAAAATATAAGTTTCATAAGGCTTAAGAAAGGCTTCCTGTTTCATATAAAGATGTTATGTAACTGTCATCGTGATGAAAATAATGGTGTTGAAAACAACGATATACAAGGTGTTAAAAAGAGCACCACACCAAGAAGGAATAAATGATATTTATCGATGAAAAAAAAGAAGTGTTATTTCTCTCGACAATGTTATCATTACATTTATCCTCCACATTATATCACAAAATGTATTACAAAGGATGATAAATAGCAAAAGTAATAATAATTTTGGGAATATCAATAATATTTCGCAAAATCAAAAATTCTTCTTTATTCTCTCGAAATATTAAAATTAAAGGAAAAAAAAAAAAAAAAAAAAAAAACAAAACAAAAAACAAAAAACATGGAACGAGGATAAGATATCGCGTTGAAAAAATTTTGTTGCAAAATTATGATTATTACTATTTAATTTGCATTCGTATGAAGATGAATACAAGAAGATAATCGAAGAATAAATAAACTAAACATTCTTGAATAAACGTTCTTTAACCTTCGACTCGTAGTAACCAGACCAATTAAAAAAACATTCTGTAGATTTAAACTTATTAAATTGAATGGAAATCTGGCACGATTAGCGACGTGAATGTTTATAATGGCATAAATTCTCGTATATAATTATAATTCATACCATAAGTACACACTCTTTCGTCATTTTCTAAATATGGGATTCTTTATGGCTGCATTAAAGAATACAGCTTAATTATACTAAACTCTCGTGATTAATATTTTATATATAAATTGAAATGATGTATGCATACGTAAAGTGAAATACAAGGACCGTTTCTATTCTTGTCTCTCTGAGAAACAGTGCGAGAGTTCAAGGTTTTGTATAAAAAATGAGACGGTGGGACAGACGATGAAAGAAGAAAAGTGGTGGAAGAAGCGTAATATATTATACTCTGTAAAGGAATTATATACTGTAACAATTTTGAATGCTGTCACGTACCGAAAAGACGGCTCGACCGTGTCGGATTATCGTGATTAGCATCTGTAGAAGGAAATGTTCTACTTTCGTGAGAGCGAAAGAGAAACGAAGAATGGGAAAAGGTAGGGCTGTAATTGTTCGAAATAAAAGCAGAGAATGCAAGTGGGAATTGAAAGGGAAAGAGAGAGAGAGAGAGAGAGAGAGAGAGAGAGAGAGAGAGAGAGAGAGAGAGAGAGAGAGAGAGAGAGAGAGAGAGAGAGAGA